GGAGCCGCCCGGCACCGCAGGCCGTGCTGCCGCTCCCCCCTCGGCTCGCTCCTGCGGGTGGGCTGTCCTCACCGGGGACAGACCCACAGGGTCGAGGCGCTCACGAAGGAAGGAGAATCCCAAAGAAAATAAAAAGGCCATAAAGGAGCTTCCTGGGGACCTTTATAGACTAACGGGGTTTATAATGTTTGTGCCGTGTCCTGTTTCACTCCTTTTTTTTTGTTCCCTGTAAGGGAAACTGCTAGGGCTGGCTGCCTTGTTGTGGCCCTAACGAGGGCAGCCAAATGAATCTCCAAGCACCTCGTTAGGACCCTGCCGGGGCTGGCACATGGCTAATTACGGAGACGATGCCCGAGCAAAGCGTCCGCAACTGGGAATGGAGAAGACTCACCCAAGACTGGGCAAGGGTGGGGGGGTGTCTCCTCCTCAGAGCACCCCAAGGGACGAACCTCCAACCCCTTCCCCAGGCTGCAGCAAAGCCCTGGGAGGGGGTGCCCACCTCCCGCCTCCCTCTCCCCCCTCCTCGTGCATGCAGGCATGGGGGCGTGCAGGGTTTTTGGCAGCCTCCCTCCCGTCTGTTGGCAAAGCCGCCTCATTGAGCAAGAGGGGCCTGACGAGATTTCCATGAACAAACTTCCTGCGGGGAGCAAAGGGCAGCGGGACCGCGTCCCTGCCCGACCACCACCTCCCAGGGAGGTTCGGACAGCGAAGGGACCGCTAACGGTGGCCCTGGGGAGGAGGAGGAGGGCAAGCCCAGGCTGAAGGAGGTACCTTCAGGTGGTGGGGGCGAGGTGCGGGGTGCAGGATGGAGCACGGGACATCCTCGTATGAGGATGTCAGCGCTTCTTGTGTCACTGCTCACGTGGACGCGTCCCATGGGCTGGTCCCTGGGCAGGGTGGGAGCTGGTCTGGTCCTTCAGCGTCCCCGCTCTGCCCACAGGCGATGGCAGCCACTGCGGTGACCGACTCCGGGGGCGTGAGGATCATCACAGAGGTCATCCCGGCCACAGACCCCCGAGTGGCCCATCTGGCCTCCGTCCCCAGCCCCTCCGTGTCATTTCAAGTCAGAGGCTTCAGAAAGGCTCAGCCCAAGGCGCTGGGGGTGAGACCACGGCGTCCTGGAGGGACTGGGGCACTCGGGGGGCAAAGCGGGGGCTGAGCATCCCCAGGGGCTGCCCTGCTTGAGGTTCTCCTTGGCTGGGGCAGAGGTGACATTTGGGGCTAGCTCCCCTTGCTGGCTCATGCCGCTGTGCCAAGCGCCAGCACACCCAGCTGTCCCGAGTCCCTTCTCGGCACCGCGGGGCGCAGCCAGGACGCAGCGTGACACTGGGATCGGGGTGGGACGTGGCTAACAGCAACGGTGACATCCGCTGCCGGCACTGTCAGACCGGCAGCGCATTGGGCCAGGAGTGACCGGGGGTATCCCTCTCCCCCATCCTTTCCCAGACCATTCAAATCTTCACCGGGATCATCCACGTCTGCTTTGGGATCATTCTGACGGTGTCAGAGTACGAGACTCCTTCACTCCCTGTGGCCTCCGGGGTTCTCTTCTGGCTCGGGCTCCTGGTAAGCAGGGACACACGGAGCCTTCACCTCCTTGCCGTCTGATGAGGAGGGGGAGATCTCAGTGGATCGAGGGGCCAGAATCCCCTCATCACCAGGGCCTCCTCTTGCACCATCTTCTGGCTGTCCCCTCTGGGGACAGAGGGTGCGTGTGTGCAGCCCTCAACACCGATTCGCAGCCAGAGGGGCACCGGGATGTGCGGGAAGGATGATGGGGAGGGGTGCCTTGCTGCTGACGCCCTCCTTCCTGTTTTCTGAGCAGCTCGTGGTCTCAGGCTCTCTGCTGGTGGAAAGTGAAAAAAGAGACAACATCTTGCTGGTAAGGGGGTCCCCGCGGCCAGGCTGGGAGGGACAAAGCATCCCCCCGCTGCTTCTGTGACTTCTGCCCCTCCCAGCGGCTGGTGGGACCTGTCCGCAGCCTGGATTCACCCTGCCAGGTCTGCAGCGGGGTACCTGAGGCCTGTCTCACCCACGGGAGATGCCCAGCTCTCTCCCTGTCGACCAGAGGCTGGGCAATCCTTCACACCTCCGGGCCTCCACAAGACACTTGGGGCCTGGTGGAGCAACTCTTGGATGATGGGGAGAAAAGGTGTCATGGAGGGTGGCTGCCCTGGGTGGCTTCTCCAGGAATATATTTGACCTGAGCTGAATAACCTAGCTCGGAGGTGCCCCTGCTCAGACAGCTCCAAGAAAAGCCCCAAGCGGCCTCTCCCTCAGCTCTGTGGCACCTTGTGGAGGTCCCTGGCCGGGTGGGCGTCATGCTGTCACCCACACAGCTCCTGGCAGGAGCTGAAGGGACAGAGCTGCTGATGGCTGACGCGCGGTGACCCACACAGGTGAAGACCTGCTGCATCATCAACACGGGAGTCATCCTGAGCACGCTGGTGGCCACTCTTGTCCACACCACAGCCATCACGCGCAACATCCCCGGCTGCGAGACCAAGATGCCGTACCAGCTGAAACCCGAGTGGTGCTTCAACACTGAGGACAAGGTAGAGCGTCCCGGTCCTGCTCAAGGCGGTGGCGCTGAGCCTCCCGACGCGGCGGCGGACAAGCCAAGAGGGCGATCGCCAGGCAGGGGAGGAAGGAGGGAAGGGGGGAACACGATGGTTGCTGCCAGCGAGTGGGACCTGCAGCACCCTTCTGCTCTCGTCCTCGCAGATGCTGAGCAACGGGCTGGATTCCATATTCACCATCTTCTGCCTCCTGGAGTTCTGCACGGCGGTGGTGGCCCTGGCCTTCGGCTACAACGCCATCAAGCAGCACAACTACATGCGCATGGTGAGGGGGGGGCCAGGGCTGGGCTTGTCGCGGGGCCCCGTCGCTCCCTGGGGAGACCTGGGGCGTTTCGGCAGGAGCAGGGCCCTTCTTGCCACCCCAAAAATGGGATTTTCCCCCCCTTTTTCTTCTCCCAGGTGCTGTAGCCACGGCCCGGCCCC